AGAGAGAGAGAGAGAGAGAGAGAGAGAGAGAGAGAGAGAGACTTGGCTTTCTCGTGTTCCGCCTGTTGTTTAATCTATAAAGTACATACATTCGCATCTTATTACAGGGATATAGTTTCAATTTGCTCGCACATAAAACCTAGTAGAGAATTAATTAATTAAACGCTCATCTTGTCTGCAATATCGGCCCGGGTTACTCATCGAAGAAGACTGTGATGAATCATTTGATGTCCAAAGGAAAGCTTATAACGAAACGATCTACGTGAGATAGACTCGACAGGAATCCTTATCGCCCGTTGTGTCTTTCCTCTTGGTTTCCAGGCTTGTAATGTGACGTCAAAGCTGAGAGACCGCTTTCGCTGCGGCGATCTAGAAGACGAAAGTGATCGTTGACAGATATAAATAGCGAACGATTGGGACAGAAAAGTCCTTATATTTTTAAACGATAAAAATGCTTTATTCATTATTGAGTTTCAATGAACTGTCTTCCTCTCATTCACCTACTTCTTATTTTTTTTTGCATGTAAAACACTTTATGCTATAATCAAAGGAGAGGATGAATGAAAGAATTTTGGAAGGAATTGAAAAGTCAATTGAGAATCGAAATGTTTGCATGTTTTGACTGATAAATTTTATATATACTAGCTATATAAGTTACAGTTTCAAGTTTTTTACTTGTTTGATTACACTATAACACCTGTATATAAGCTTTCACTGTTTCTTAAATATTCTTTTGATTTCGCATTATTATATTCCAGTGTTATTTTTATTTCGGTTCCTTATTTTTCATTCGTATCGCACGATTGCATCGCGATTAATCGGCCGCGAAATTCTCAGTTAATATGTAAACTCGGTTCAATAAATTCCAAACAACTCGATAATGGTTAATTTTTAAGTGATAAATCAACGTAATCGAGGTGCAAGCTACATTATTCGGATTCTATTAATAAACCTACTTATCGAAAATATCCTTTTTGAATCTCAATTTTTTGATGGAAATTTAGATATTTAAGCGACATTATTTCTTCAGCCTTCTTGGGGGTAAATATGTAACGCAGTAAGCGCTGATATAATCGACTTAAGGATATATTACTGCATTTCTATAACAGGTTATATTTGTGACATACGAGTGATCATATTTCGTAAAAAAAAAACGAAAAAAAAATTCGCTGCGGACAGGATTCGAACCTGTGCGGGTAGTACCCAATGGATTTCAAGTCCATCTCCTTAACCGCTCGGACACCGCAGCTGTTGAGAAAAGCGTTTCCATTTGTGCTACCTCTTGTGAACAGCTGCAAAAATTAGTCATGACACGCAATATTTTATGATTACTTGCAAATAAATGTTAGCGCTAAAAAGTCGACGCGATCGACAAGATATTGACGTACTTTTTGTTTTATAATTTTACATCACAATAAATTTGATAATCACATTGTTCGTTGTATTTGTTATATGTGTAACTTATGGTTGATATTGCAGTCGGAGGATCGTTACGCACGCGATAATTATGTAATTATTATTTGTACGCTCAATTCAACGGCAAATTGTATTTTACCTCCTTTTTTCTACAGAGATGCACTGTGCACACTACATGATTGTCCGTTTTCAGGTTACAGCGATAGCATTGCTGTCAGTCGGCGTTGTAGTTATTGGAATGTACTATGAGTACCACAGTTTTGTCGACGACAGTTTCTTCTTCGTGCCATCTCTTCTCATAGCTGTGGGTTCTATCATCTTTATCATCGCCTTGTTAGGATGCTGCGGAGCCGGTCGCGAAAGCTACTGCATGATTGTAACGGTAAGGCGAACGCTCGTAAAAAGTTCTTTGATCGTGTGTTTCTTTTGTCTTAAATACATTTATTTCGACGCACCTTTTTACGGAAAATATGCATTAAGAGAAGAAATATCTAAAAAATAAAAGAATATTTATTCGACTAATGACATATTTAAATCTAAATTTTTTTATCTAAATAGAACAGACAGTTGTTTTCATGAAAAACTAAGACGCTAAAACGCTTCAGAAAAGTATATATTTTCTTATTTGGAAAAACATTGTATATTAGTATGAGTAGATTTTTCCGTTTTTTTAGGTATTTTTTCTTTCAGTGTAGAAAGTTATACGCGTCTGTTAAATTGTATGTAACGTGAAATCGTATTTTTACTTAACGCGTGTGTGAAAGTTACGAAATCTTTTTCGATAAAAGTGATGTTTCGTTTTGCAACGTTCATTTTGCAATTAGCGCCTTCATCGTTGCGTCTGCATCACGATTGTAATTCTCGTCGGTCAATTAATCAACAATAATTAGCAAACCGTATTGAACTAAAATTATAATAATAAGTACTTTACCACACGCACATTGCGTGTCGTCGCGTGTATTCCATTATTAGTTCCTTTCGAAATATAACGATGGATTAAAAACGCGCTGCCGACGGGAGTGTCACGAACATCACCATAATTAGAAAACTTTCGCGGTTCTCGATGTAATTCTCACGAGATCTGTCGATTCGCCGAAGCGTCGTTTTCGGCCGACGACGAAAATAACAAGTGAAAAAGAAGCGCGGCAAAACTCGTCCACCCGCATATATTGTCTCCCCTTCGTTTCCATAATGTAATGGGCAAGGTTTTGTGCGCAAAGTATGTAATCGGCGTATACGTTCTCCCCGTCTCACCTTCTCCACTGCGATATTCCCAGAATTATTCTCCCTCGCACGTGGAGAAGGAAGGGCGACACGCTTCCGCTGTTACTTTAAAAAATTAACACGATATACTATATATATTGCAGGAGGCTATAATAAGCAATAATAAGTCGCAGAGTGAGTCGGGTATCTCTGTGATTTTCTAACATTCTTTAGCCCAGTATGTAAAAGAGTTACGCGGTTTTTAGTGACAAATTAAAAGACAAATGACCCGAAAATTCTAATAATGTCTTTCGACATAATCTCAATTAATTGATCTTTTATTATTTTTTATTACAGTTCTGCACGCTTCTAGTTGGAATCTTCGTTCTGGAGATCATCGGCGGTACGATGGGATATGTGATGAGGGCGAGCGTTAAGTCAGTCGCCCAGCATAAGATGATCGACACGATGGCCAAGTATAATACAACCAAGGAGATGCAATATGTTTGGGACGAATTGCAGCGAAACGTAATGCACAATCGAAGATTGTTTACTCTCCCGAGCCATCTTTAGACCATATCTTTAAAAGAAGAAAATTATGAGCCTATCTACAAGTTATTCATAAGCTTAATAACATTTTATAATTATTGAGAATTTTAATTACACCACTATCAGAATATAGATTTAAATATGATGATTTTCGCGAAAATGTAATCTCTGCCACTACAAAAGAGCACTCTTCTTACAATACTTATACAAGTAGAAGAATTCTTTCCTCTGTACGATCGAAAATATTCTTGAAGAAAATCGACGATTTTTATGATCTGTTGTTTCATCTATTTTCAATAGCAGCTGCGTTAGAAGTTTTTCACGCTCTACGTAGTGCCCTCCCTGTCGTGGGAGCAACGGCGATCGTCGCGAGGATATCATAGACGACGAAGCGATAGGGATAATTTCAGTGCGCGACTCTAATTCGTGGTGTGTATAATGCATGCGTGTGTGGTGCGCACGCGACAGGGGTAGTATGAATCGATTTTTACGTCGCCCCGCGCTTCCTTGACCACACTCAACGATCTCGTAACGCTCGAAACATAAGCGTGCCGTAAAATATTAGACGTGCTTTCCTCGAGATCTCTTTGTTACATGTGACTTTGTAAACATTAACGCGCTCGCGTGACGTTTCATTAATATGACGATGTACGAGTATTCATTTTTGCAGTTCAAATGCCGCAGCACGCTCGACACTTCTGATTGAATCGAGAAGACACAAGCGTGCAATAAAATCTGCACTCTAAAATGAAAAAAACTTAACATCCGTTTTCTGAGTTTTTAGTTAAGAACAAGTTTTAATAGTTGTGAACGTTTTTTCAAATTACACACATACTATATTAACTATGTTGATTAATATTTTAGAGCGATTAAATGTGCGTAAATTCGCAAGATATTCGAAACATTTACGTACTTTAAGATTTCTCTAGTTCAGAAAAAATGGATATTGGCTCTTTTTCTTCTAAGATGTAAAACCACATACTATTTTAAAGATTCCTTCTGCATAATTCCCTCTCACAGCTCCGTGACGTTCCATTTAACATAAACGAACATTTATTGTTGCAGTTTGATTGTTGTGGCACCAATAACGCTACTGATTGGATAAATCTACAATACTCCGGCATTCCAATGTCATGCTGCGATAATACTGTAGGCGTTATCGGCACTACGAACTGCACGTTAACATCACCGACTCTTCATAACGTGGGTTGCATGGACGCGTTCGTGCGTTTTGCACAGAAACACGCAGGCAAGATAGCAGGAGTCGGAATGGGTCTTGGCGTAATTCAGGTACCTTAAAAAAACATTAGAAATAGTGTTTTTCTTAATGTCTTGAAATACTCTTAAAAATCAAATATTATCACAATATCAAGATAGTTTGTTCTACAAACAGAAATAAAATAAAATGCCTCAAGTATATTCTTAAATATTTTTTACCGATAGAAAAGAAGAATATTACCTTGTGTTGCAGATAATAGGGATCCTCCTGTCGGCCTACCTAGCGAAGTCAATCAGGAATTGCTATCAGACCATGTAGATTTCTGTGTAAAAAGTCGAGCGCACAGGAACTGTGATGTGCTCAAACTCAGCAGGATTTCCATTAGGATATAAGTTTGTACGCATTTGATGCAAATATATTTGCATTGTAAGAGTGGCAAATTACTTTTACTCTGCACTATGTCGCGATTTTTATCCTATAAATGACATTGGATAGATAATGTGTATTTTTAATAAAAATTATGCTGAGAGAAACATGATTTTTCTTGTTTTAGTTCTAATATTTATGATTCTCTATTCTATTGCTATTTTCCTGTTTTCGTAAAGAATCAGAAACAACAAAATCATAAAAAGATAACGAAATCGATTGTTTTGCAGAAGTTTCTACGTTACGATAATTATTCGATAGGAAATTTCAGTGGAGACTATATGTGATTTTTGCAATATGTGTAAAAAGCACCGAGAGCGTTGAACTGCATGAACATTGACGCCCATCCGTGTGTGAATCATGTAGGCACACGAAATTAACTCGATCGTTCACGCATGAATCATACGTGTCCCGCGTTGTTTTGCTTGTGTACAAACGTAGCAACGGCTGTGGCGAACGTTACTTTTTCAATTTTATCTCGTATTGACGAGAATTTCACTCCAAATACCAAAGTATTATAAAATATTGTATTTTTCAACGAAACGTCGTCGTCTTATCATTGTGTCAAAAATTGACAGCTTATTAGCAAAAGATTGATACGTGGAAGGTGATTCGAGCGCCTTTGAAACATTCTGTACAGGAAGCCGAGACGGCTTGGTTTTGCAGTTGGTGGGATAAGAATAAAGCGGCGGTGTATTGTACAAAACGCCTTTTCCTTTGCGGAGGATAAAACGTTTCCAGCAAAAGCGTAATAGCACTCGCTCGGGCAAAAATAAACGTTGCAATAAGGAAAAACGTGCGCATTCCCGTTGCAATTATAAAATTGCAAGAAAACATATGCAAAAAACAACTCGACGAATAATAATTGCTCTACAGATCTCTTGAGAGATTCTGATAGATTCATACATCTATTAAGTTGATGCAAAAGCTTCGTCGTGCTTGAATAAAATAGAAGATAGAATTATCCAACTAGGAGAGATTGATAATTTTTATGAATAAAACAAATTGTTTTATTCATAAAACAAAAGAGATTAATAATTTTTATGAATGAACAACATCGACTACAATAATCTATATACCAGGACTTTCTCTTTTTTTTAATACTTAATCTTTTTATAAGAATTTAATAGAAACGTGACAAATTGTATATCAAGCATTTTCCCAATCGTTTCTCTACGGTAGGACCCGCTGATACGCGCTGCGCATTTTGCTTTTAACGCAACAAATCGCACAGTTGTGTGCTGGTGTACATTCGTTTAAATTTGTCGCGAACTTATCGTCCTGTTGCATTTATTCGCGTTATCGCTTCTTCGTGTTCTCCCACTCCCGATGACTACAAAGAAACACGTCGGCTGGACGTCGCAAAGGACGTCGCCGCCACATCGGCCGGTGAACAGTCATCGCTCGTCGTCGTCGGCTCGGCTTCGTACATTTTCGTGACTCGTTATCGGTCTGCGAGATAACGCTGATCAGCTGCCGTGGCCCGATACCGGGCATCGGCATCGACAGTCGGTGCGTCAACGGTGAATGTGTGTAGATCTTCGTCGTACACCTGCGTCCGCGGAGGAACCAAGGCGAGCACCAAAATGGCGGCCACGCATCTCGACGTCGGCCTTCGGTGCATCAAGTACCTGCTGTGTGCCGTCAATTCCCTCTTCGTGGTCTGTACTTGTTTTTTGCTCTACTTGATGAAATACTCGTGACGAGATAACCGCAATTCTGGCGAACGGAATCGTCCTATTCGCTGCGACTGCGCGCGTCCTCTTCAATATTTAATATTGTACATGCCGGCTCAAAATATTAGTTTCTTTTTTATCATAAATGCAGAGGCGTTTATATTCAGCCGATATTTTGAAACAATACACTTCCAAGCCGTCGCGACATAGTTAGTGTTGCGTAAGTTTTCCTCCTTTGTCGCGCGACAGAGGTATATTCGTGGAAAATGAGGTAATGTTCGCGCCCCTCCAAACGTAGCACACGTAGTTCACGATGACTCCACAACCGTCGACATATGTACGTCGTTAGAGACCGTTGGAAAATGTTTTCGCGACGTAAGCTCTCGAGAAGGTGTAATTGCGCGCGTTATGCGAGCGCTCCCGTGTGAACTGTACCATACATCCGTAATTATCGATTGCCGTTACAGCGACCATATAGATAATGCTTGGTTTCTAAAAAAAAGGCTTCGATTTGCAGCGGGAACAACCGCCATTGCTAGCCATCTGCTTTGTGTTAGCTGAAATAAGACGAAGAAAGACTGATTTTATAATTCTATATCTCACATCTCACGTGGTTACACACGCGGAAAGTTTCACTTATAACGAATGAAAAATTTCAGGCAACACGATGAATTTCAGCAGCATGAGTGTGATCGAAAAACACGAGAGCGTTATTTTTTCCTCCGAGATTCCTCCGAGACGGCCGACTCGTTCGCCGCTTAACAATTATTACCGCTTATTATTTCGCATATGTCATCGCTCTTACGTCGCAAACTATCCAAGCACGACACACGATATCACAATATCATCGCTCTCTGTTTCGTCTTTCTTGTAAGTGGATCCTGTATCAATTTTATTTGCCGTTGATGCTTGCCTCGATAACGCAATTGATCTTAGAAAGAATGATTCATTAGACGTCAATTTTTCACGTGCGGCTAATGATTTTATTTTTTCGCGCGGCAATAATTCAAAGTTAATGTTATCGTGGATGTTATTGGGAACATTAGAATTCAATAACAGCGGCGTTGCATTTGAAATAATAATATTACATTATATTAAGAAATGATAACACCACATATTGATACGATTTCAACATAAAAAGGATCGATTTGTGTTGCGATAGCGTATCTGATAACTTCAGTCGTATCAGCGGCGCGGGGAACAATAAGAAGAAAATGGGAAGAATCGTGGAAAATCGTGAGAGCGAATTCTTTTTTCCATTGATGTTAATATCTTTCGATGCGTTCTTTGTTTCTATCTCTTCCTCTGCCTTTCTCTCTATCGGAATCGGTCACAAAGAAGGCGATGTGGGCCACGAGGTTCGAGTTTCGTTGTTATAGAGTACTTTCGAACTACGATCGATATTGCATAGACAAGTCTATGCACTGTTAAATTATTAGGTGATAGGCAAACCCACACAACAGCTGCGCAACCTGATTAACATTGTACATCTCTCAATTAAACAAAGAAATGGAAAGCAATGGAAAACAAAGCCACCTTTTCGTTGGTCATTCACGTGGATTGCTTGGTTGAAGCCGTCGCGCATAAACTGATGTAATAGCATCAAAAAATCGTTCTAATTCTGTACTGACAATAAGAGATAACGCTGAACTCTTGCGACATTATAAAATACTCATACACGGCTTTGTACAACGGCAAATGGAAATGTTAAAACGTAATTGTGAAGAACGGTGTAGCAATTAACGCACATAAGAGTACACACAGAACAATATCATTCTACTGTCAATAAAAGCGATAGCTTAGTTTATTTTCCTTCTTTTGCGCAATGGTTATCTTTATCATATATCATATATCTTTATATTTATCATCTCCAAAGAATTTAATCTCTCTTGACAAGAATATTGAAAAACTTTACCGAAGAAAGAAAACTGATTTAATTCTATGTAGTAAGTAAACCGAATTCATTTGAATGCAGCAGGTATTTTTCTGTGTAGATATAATAATAAGCAGCAGAAAACAACATCGTCATTTGCACATTGCGATCTTAAGAGAACGTTCTATGTACCTGCGAGCTTACGTGGTCGCGTCTACCCGGAGCATAAATGCTCGCTTATCAGTAGAGATAAATGTATAATCTTCATAGTGATGTGCGAAATATCGTCGTGTAACTCGAACAATGTACACGAATTATGAAAATTTATTATTGCCCACCAGTGCCGTTGGTGGATCGACATCGCGTTTCTGTTCGAACTTTGATTGCCATTGTTACCAGGAAAGATAATTGCACGAGATATTTTCCTCTTAATTATGTGTGTGTATGTGCAGAAATATAACTGGCTTACCGAGGGACCGCGCGTGTTTATGCAAACCAAATTGAAAGATCAACAGCCTTTCGTATCTCGATACGAAAGCTGCTGATACAAATCAGCTCGATAGCGCGTCGATATCGCGTTGAGATATCTAGAATTATAAAAATTTACTTATTCGAGGACATGTTAAGTGTACACCGTACGCCCTAAATAATAGTAAAAGAGCGTCTTATCGTACGAATTACATAGCTCGCTTTGTCATGCGACGAAAGACCGACCGTGATATATGAAATTTACAACGCGCTTCACACACGATAGCGAGAAAATGTTACGTGTCGTTTTAGTCTTTTCAGTGTAAAAAATTAATAGCGGCGGCACGGCTGTCCGTGAACGCGAATTACGTAACTGATGCCAGGTAATCAAAGACAATCAAGATCTTATGTGTCACGATAGTGTGCGCTATATATGGGACAAAATTGTAATGACGCAAAACATGTATCGTGCACAACGATTTCTGGTGACGTTCTCGTGTATTTTCTTGCAGTTGACGGGAGTAATGATAATATCGGTCGGCACGACCATTTACGCTGTTTACGAGAACTTCTCGCATTTTCTGGACCCAAGCTACTTTTCGCCGGCTACGCTCCTTATTGTAGTCGGGATACTCGTGTTCATAATAGCTTTTATGGGATGTTGCGGTGCGCTTCGGGAAAGTACCTGCATGGTTCTTGTGGTAAGCAACACGTGAATCTCTCATAGCAAATAAAAAGAATATTTATAGCTTTCATTTCTTTCTTGGAATACGTTAGTACAGATAAGAGAGTTACGCTACCGAGTATTTCTGTAATATTGTACTCTTTTACCTTCTACGTATAAAATTATTTCAAACAAAATCAAAATGCCTCTTTTAATCGCTGTATATATTTTATCTTTCCAAATTTCTTTCATCTTACCGGATTCCGACATGAATTCTAATATCTATCTCCAGTTTTCAGTCTTGCTGTCGATCGTGTTATTGATGGAGCTCGCTGCCGCTGTTGCTGCGTACGCTCTGCAAGGCAGCATCAAGGGTCTTTTGGCTGAGAAGATCAACGTAACCATGCATCAGTACGGACAGAACAAGGAGGTCTCGGATGCTCTTGATTTCCTGCAAAGCAGGGTAAGACAATCACCGCATCACTGTTTGCATACTTGTGTAATTAACAAAAAACATTCAAGCATATTCCTTGTCGAAGAGAACAATTATTCTGAAACATTTTTAAATTATATTGTCTATATAAACTATATTATAAAAAAATTACATGTAAATTATATATATATATATTTTTTTTTTCTTTTTCGTTTCTGCAGTTACGTTGTTGTGGATACAATGGACCTGAGGATTGGAACAGCATTGAGCTTAACGAAACGATAACATCTTGTTGTGATAATATATTTTATTCCATTGAAGAAAATTGTTCACAAAAATTCAATGAAGGTTGTATCAATCGTCTTTCCGATATTATTCATCGTAGTGCACTATACATCGGTACGGGAGCCGTGGCGATCGCTCTCATTCAGGTGAGTGGATTCAATTTCGCTAAACTTCGCGTCTCCGACATATATGAAAAATTTTAGCAGAAGTTTGCGTGGAAAACTAATGCTTTTTTACTTTGCTTGTTTAATTACTAATACTTTTTTATTTGCTTGTTTTTTTTCCCAAACGAGAACGCAATCTAGAAAAGTTTATAGTTTATTTTCAGTCAAATATAAACAATAATAATCTGTATTCTGTTTCTTTCTAGCTGACGGGGATTATGTTTGCGTGTATGCTGGGTCGAGCCATCAGGCGTCAGAAAACGGAAAGGGAGAGGCGTCGCTGGGAATTACGAGAAAACCTTGTGAACGGTTACGAGCCATTGGGAAAATCGGATCCCCTGACTACGTTTCCCGTGGTGTACATGTCACCAGAATACTCATATAAAAGCGATCAGAACTTGAAAAAGTGTTAATATATTCGATTCGAGAAACGAAATATCTCGTCTGAGAATCACAATGCGAATATGTTAACATTTTGCGACATGAAAGAGGATTTACAAAATCACAGATAACTTCCAACTGTCGTTCTCATAAGACAAAAATTTATAAAAATCTGAACGACAATTTTATGTTTTACAACGTATTGAAGCATCCAAAGAGAATATTTATTTCTGACAATCTTACTCACTTTTATACGGAAGGTCATCATTTATCGCCGTGTGATATAAGAGAAAATAATACTTAACCAAAAATTATGTGTGATTTATGATTCAGAAAATATATATTTTCGGAGCGCCATAGATATGTACAATCAAATTCTGTTTGTTTTAAAAAATCCATACGAATAAAATTTTTAATATTCAACGAAATATAATAATTAATACTTTTGCTTGTTACATATACATAAAGAGGAAGATATTCATTTGAAATATTATTAAGCAAGTTATTGTAAAAACCGTTGCTAATTCTTATTGTACATTAGTAATACTGTATATTTTTATGTTAAAAATAAAATATATGAAAAATATCTTTATTCTATTAAAGTATCTTTACTATCACATTTATAATTCAATAATTTCCTTTCTGAATAGAGAATCTTAACTTTAGAGTTGCGTTACATCGTGCGACAGTGTCTTATTGAATATATTAATCTAAATTTACTTCATTCACATGTACTGATTTCACCAGAAGAATACAGCTTGCCTCAAAATCTCAGAGGCTTCCTCGTGATTTTTTCCATTTTCAAGATACGGAGGAGTTAATTCACGATACGCGAGACAAACGCGTCTCGATACGACATCCTGTCGAAGCACGGAATGCTCCCACTTATATCTGACAAACAAAAATCATGTAGTTTTAATTCCATATAGATTACGATATTTTTTATTCAAACATTTATAAGCAAAGTATCATACCTTGCAGGGCCGTATAGAATCATGAGTGATCTAGCAGGCATCGGCAATCGCACCACAATGTTATCATCGATATCTACAGTTTGCGTGTTGTCGCAAACATCATTTTTTAGAGTGGAACTATTATAATTCGGAACGCAGTCCAAGTTATATCGCTTTATCGGACCGTGATAAGGAGTCATTGTCAGAACAGAATCACCGAGAACGTTCACGGTCACTATGCGTTCTCCCCAGATCCAACAATCGTCGATGTGAGGATCGATAGAAGCGCCTCGCACAGGATCGTACTCGAGCGAACACTGCTCGACAGTCTTGAAATTGTGTAACAGCGGTACTTCTTCAAACTTCTTCTGTACAAACTGTGTTGTTTTAGGAAAACCATCGAATGATCCTAATCGTAATTTCCTCTTCTTGAAGTTACATTTTGGCCCGAAGTTCTACAAATTAAATCTCGTGGCTTAAACACATTAGGTTATTAAAACATAGTCATTAATTCTTTTTTTTTTAATGAAAATATATACCTGTTTTCTTCTGCCACTTTGTGAAGCTTGCCAAGGAAGACAATCAAGTGCTTTCATCAGTTCCTCAGCTTCATCTTCATTTAAGTAATCTAACTGAGATACACCTATTATTAATCATATATTTTAAAAGGTTGTTGTAAAATGCACAATATTTTCTGTTTTAAATCTTACCTTGATGTAAACACCAGGATATTCAATCAAATTCCCATCATGGTGAGGATGTTTCTTATACTCATCTATGTTCCATCCTGGTAATAATTTATCACAATACGGACAATAAACGTAACTTTTGCTTTTCTGTGAAAGCACGTAATAATTCTATCTTAAACTGATTAAGAAATCATAACAATTTTATGTAATTGATAAGCTTTATAAAAAAAGTGGTTTCACAAATTATTATTTATATATTATAAATTATAAATATATTATAAAAACATATTTTTATAATTATTGTAAATATAATATATATATATATATATATATATATATATATATACATATATATATATATATATATGGGAGAATAATAATAAAACAAAAGAAGAGAACCCCAAGGTCAACTACCTCATCCTCTTAAAAAGAAGATGATAAAAATGGTTGAAGATGATAAACTGGTTTTTCAGGTATTTAAGTAGAAGAGATTATAGTCAAGTAGTAGGGAGAATATACAGTTGAATAAACAGTATATAATAGACAGTACATATAACAGATAGTAGACGAAAGAGGAAGAAATTTTTATAGGTAAGAATATTTTGATATGTATATTACTTTGTAGAAAAAATAATAACTATAAATGTATAAGAGAGTGTACAATATTTATGTATTCAAAGTGAATGAGTACATATTCCAGTAAACACAATAGTTCTTTTTATCCTAAACACAATAGTAATTCTTTTTATCCTGAAAATCACATTTCTTTCATCTTTTCAATTGCTTATTTTCTATCTTTTTTTGTGCGTGTAATACATTTGTAACTATTACAAATGTAACTGTTACTATTAATATTTGATTTGATGCAGATACAATAATACACATATATTTTATACAATTTTTGTTTTAACATAAGTGACAAGTGAAAAAAAATCTAATCAATCTCAATTTTCTGAAAAAACAGGATTAATCGAAGGTGATTTTGAGTTGTCAACACACAGTAATACAAATTAAATAATAAATAAAAACAATTTTAAATTATGTTGCTAATATGAAACATCTCATCAAATGTTCAAAAATTTGTAGGTTATGTATCCACTACAGTCTTACCTGTAACATATTTGTTGTCTCCACATTCTTGGATATTTTATAGTCTTCCTCACAAATTAAGCAAGAGCGTATTCCTTTGCATCCGCATGGTCGGACAGTCTGCATAATGATAGTTTTTTTTATCAGATATTAACACATCAGTTTACAACTCTACAGATATCCGCATATTCTCAAACACGTCAGGATCTGCGCTTCCGCGTCGAACTTGGATAATAGCGGGTGTACGTGAGCGCATGCGCGCGTTAGTGTGCATGAAGCTTTTCAAATTTAAATTTTTTAATTTGAAACTTTAAAAATTTGTATTATCCTATATAAAATTTAAGATACATTTTGTAAAATTTTATCTTTTAAATAAGCCTTTAAACTTCTTAATAAAGTTTTATGAAGCAAAAGGTTGAAACATTACTGTATTTTCGCTTAATCTCAATATAACGCTAAATTGTAATAATACAATTGTTAAACAATAAATATAATCGTCTTTATATTAACGAGATAGATAATAAATTACTCCAGATTTTAATCTTTCCTACTCTGTGATCAACAATTATGTGGGAGAAACTTAAAAGCTGATATTCAGCGACTTTCATTATCTCCTTGTGTTATCGGGTCATAACCCGAGATATTACTGACATTATATTTCGACCTTTCAGCGTTACCCGTACAGTTGCATTTCATCGTTCAATTGCGTTGTGAAAATGTTACCAAAAATCTGTTTCGTATTTTTACTAAGTCTCTCTGCCAGTTTCGCCAGTAAGTACAGTACAATTCGTAATTAGTCGTGCTTAATTATATCAATAAAGAGATCCTGAATAGGCCAAAGTATTCGGCATTTTTATATTTACGTGAATCCTCGCACGTTTTAACTCTGACTGGCCCAATTTTCTTATATAAGTACGTATATATATGTTAGAATATTATTTCTATATTGTCAATTATATTTTCACAGACCCCCCTGTGGAATGTCCTAATATTATTAGCAGGAGTCAGTGGACCATTGCTCCTGCTGGAGATGTGAATTATTTAATTTTACCGATACCTTATGTGGTGATACAACATACAGTGACCCCCGAGTGCGAAACCTACGATGCATGTAAAAAAAGAGTCGAAAACATACGCAGTTTTCATATGAATGACCTTGGCTGGGACGACATCGGTTACTCGTAAGTCATGCGATTAATTTTCATTCGAAAGTAATTCTAAATCTGGTCGGGTATTATTGATCTTAAAAGTGGCCGCACATTGTTGGTTTATTTAAAATAATGTCTTTTTCTTGAAGATTCTTAGTTGGCGGTGATGGAAACATATACGAAGGATGCGGGTGGACCCGCGAAGGAGCGCACACGTTTGGATATAATAAAAAGTCGATTGGCATAGGCTTCATTGGAAATTTCAATAGTAAATATTTCTTGTTGAATCATATTAAGGCTTTATTTTATTAGCATAAGTAATAATTTATGTAACTGCTAATTACGATCCGCTGAAGAGAGAAAGGAAAATTGTTTCATTTTGGGAAATGTTTCCTTTTCAGGAAAACGGGCTAAACAAAACATGTTGGACGCTGTGCATCAATTGATTCAATGCGGCAAATCCCAAGGTATCCTTCGGAGCAACGTACGTGTGATCGGTGCACGGCAGGTGCAATCAACGTCCAGTCCGGGAGAGAAACTTTACGAGCAGATCCAGAGCTGGCCTGAATGGGTCAGTAGTCCTTAAAATACTTAAAACAAAAACTTGCAGTAGTTGATCGCTGTAATGCGAAGTAGCAGGCAAAGTAGCGCTGCGATAAAATCATGTTTGTCATATTACAAACTTATTTACCAATAATTACTTAAACACATGACGTATAAAATATAAAATGTGGAATGTATTTCCTTCTTCTTGGAATATATTATATCGCAAAATGTTTGTAAAATTAACAACGAAAAGCACGATGAAAATGTAAGACCGTAAGAAATATACTTCGGTATGTTCGAGGTAATAGTTTGTGTTTTATTATATTACCTTTCTAGCGAGAAGAGTCCAGCTCCTGATCTAATATAAAAAGAAAAATCTTAATACATACGTTTTATATAACGCATTAACATTTCAGAGATGAACGCATGTAGTAGACGGCGGAAATAAATCGTGGAGATTGTGGCGAATTTAGGAAATGGAACGGTGTGACATCGTAACGCGTATATCAATTCTATTCAAGTTTCATTTTTTTTTTCGATTATTAGGAGATCACGTAATTACTAATATACAAATGATACATTATCACCAAGAGTTTTTCTCTTACACAGAATAAATATTGCGCATTAGCGGGTTTTTCAAGAATGACGCAATCGAGCCGTGCTTAAGTTTTTTTTTTTAATCATAGTTATTATTATCGTTAATATCCATATAATTATCGATAACTACAGTAAAACACAAAACAAAAAAAGGTGGTAGTGGGTATCTGTACATTCTCCTTAAACGATTAACGTAAACATCTCTTTGCATACCTGTCTACAAATAGGAAGAAACTAAATCATAATATTCACAGATATTTTACAAGATAGACGAGGCGCGACAGCGGACGCACGCGTCACGAAACGATACTGGTGCAAGAAACGTATCGTCCTGCATTTTACTACATGAATACGACAGGTTGCAGAAAGGGAGAACAGAATGGAACGGAAGAACGTGGAGTTTTCCGTCGCAAAATAAACAACACGTTGCGCGACACGTGCGCACGCTCCCGCCTTATTATACTTATTCATAGCTATAATATATACGCGCTTCTTTTTTCCTTTTTATCACTTCACTTGCTCAATTATACCTCTACACTGTACATATCCACAACGCATCTTTTACACTGTACATACACACGCTCCGCGAGTATTCGCGCTGCCTTAAAGTAATTATGTTTCGGGGATAGACAGAACAGGAGCGACAGCACTTGGATGTGTCGCTATCGACAATGATCGGAATAAAATTAATAAATTCACCATACCATATTCACTCCTGAAGCTTGTTTAAGAAACTCATTAAAAAAACATATTCTTCCATTGGATGCGTTGCAAAACTCGTTAAAAAAAAGTGCTGCAATCTTCCTGCCACTGACTATGCACTGTGAGTGATTTAAATAAAATATCGGATGTTCAGGGAAAAAATTAAATACGTTTGGTGAAAGTAGTCGTCGTTCGTCGAACTGCTGTCATTATTCGGCAAAAAATTAAAACACGGTCGCACGGTGTTTTGTCGATCCCCAATAGTTCTGCATAAGATTACTCTTCTAGAGGCATGCGTCCTACGCGCAGCAGCATAATATTGTAAGTAGGTTTCCTTAATTTACCTAAAATGTTTTTTTCACGGCTTGGTGTGATATAATGTAACTTTTCTGGTCTATACACATAAGCGCATTTTATTATCTCGGACACGAATGCTAAAGAGTCTATGAGTCGTCGTCGCATGACAAAGTCAAAGCGTGACGAGGGATGGGGTGTAATAGGATGGAAGTGTGTAAAATGGGGCGGCGTCAATGGTCAATGAGATCGGTCATACTATTTTTTTTTCCAGTATGACAAATAAGCCCCATTTGTCCTTAAATATGCGAATTGGTACGCCCTCCTATATATAGCTAGCCTGCTGTAATAACGTTAATAATAATTAATAGCAGCGGTAATAGTGGTAGTAGAGTAGTGGTAGTAATAGTAGTAGTAATAGTAGAGTAGTAGAGTAGTGGTAATAGTATAGTAGTAATAGTAGCAATAGCATTGGTAATAGTAGTCGTAATAATAACAGTAATAATGATATTAATAATAATAATAATCATAACTGTAATAAAATAAGTGATATTCATATGGATCGTAATAACCATAATCACGAAGGCTCAGAATTAGAATATTCTATAAATTTTTTTGCAAAATGTATGATGTATGCGTTCTTTAAAAGTATAATATAATAGTAATAATTCAGAATATGTTACAGCCTGCTATGCAAAATTATGATACACTAGGGACAAATTCTATTCGGTATAGCCCATTTTTCTCGCATTTATGTTAAAGGTCTAGCATTATGATTTACATTCTAATTCGACACGAGCGGTGGCGGCGGCGCGGCAGAAACAGGGGTGTAGCAGCAACTATCTCGTTATAATAATATAATACATAGTTATTTATATAGAGCAGTATCATACAAAAAACACATCACATACCTCACAGAGCATTAGTCGATCACCCTTATATTGTTTTACTTTTGTTTTCTGCCTCGTAACGCAGTTATGTATCGTTAAATAATTAAAATCACAGTAGTTATGCCCTCGCTGGCTTGCTTATAATTTATACAGTTTTATCATTAACGTTCAAGCCTTACTTAAAATAGCTCGTGTGTAATGATGTAGGGTTTTACGTTATTTCATCCTAACCATTATTTACGGATTTGACTGTCCCTCTAGAGCAACGGTTATTTAACTGGTTTTTCCTCTACGAGAAGAACGAACGTGAGTAGTTTCGTGGACTGATCGCGAGTGATGAATCGAAGGTCTCGTCTGAAGGCTGTGGGGGTTGTGCCCTGACCTGCTTGTCAGAAAGACCAAGAGTGATGTCGGTCGATCCCACAAACGACTGTCAGTAATCGACGCGAGTTACAAGTCGTCCGAAAAAAAGAAAAACGAGCTTGCTTGCGCCCGAATCCATTGGAAGGGAGGCACGCGCGATGATACCGGCGTATTAATCGTGCTAGCCTCTCTCCATCGCACAACCTCGTGCCTCGCTTTAGGCCTACGATCTAAGATCGGCGTAGCGTTGGGTTCCATTTGATTGTCACTAATACGACTCCGGATAAAGGAGCTCTCATTTGTTTCGAACGCATCTCTTCTTTCTCCCTGCCTTCTATTATTTTCTTTTCTTCCTGTCTTCGATCTTTGCACAACTTTATGTGCGCGTTAGACGGACACTTCTAGGCTTCATGCCACATGCGAAGTGTCCCGCGGTATGTAAGGACATGGATAGATCGTATAATCCAATAAGTGGTCACTGATCGTCCTCAGACCGTAGCAATGACGATTAGCAAATGAGCGATCTTTGCGACACGGTGAAGTAGATCGGGTGCGATTCTTGCCAAACTCTCATTCGCAAACTCACAAGACGGGAAAATGTGAACTACATACGCTGGCTAAAACGCAAAAAATACATATCGTTACACTTTAACTGCAAATGGATTATGCAAATGGAAAAAACAATTACGTCATGACAAAACGAAAAATCTATAATAGCGTGCGATAATCATTACCTGCTGCGAGCCCGGTGCAGCAATGTTAACGATTCCAGCAGCTTGCTTTTGTTGAAGATACATAATGAAACCTGTTTGAAGATTTTTGCTTTGTTGCAACACATCTACTTCGTCACGGCCGCAAGGAAGTGCCAACAGCATACAATGTTCGTTGTCAGTCTAGAGAAAACATTAAATAATTAAATGATATATTAATCCGGTGTTCGGCGAAATTTCTTGAAAAATTGTTTGAAAATCGCTTCGAAAGTACAAGTTATTCCGAGCACTATATTAATCTATAGTTCAATCTTTTTAGAATTCTTCTTTGTACATATATGTACAGATGTATATATACATCTGCTATATATGTAATGCTACTAAGTATTAAGAATAATAATTATTTATCTTAACTTTTAATTCCATTTTTAATGCATTTATATAATTTTTACATTAATTAAACTATATTCTAATACAATGCTAATAAAAAAAAGAACTGTCATACGTACCTGCATTTTTCTTGCTACACCCTCTACTTGAGTTTGTTCTAATCTCATTCTTTGTGCTATCCTTAACGGTGGAGTGGATCCGTCGCTATTGCACGGCAGACTGTCTCTGGCTACGTTAGGATTACCGAAGACAAAGTGCATCTGTACCGCGGCCTGGTCGTTTTTAAGAGCTAACAGACCCTGCCACATAACTGGGTAACGTTGTAGCAGCATCTGAAATGAGTCCGCTTGCGGAGGCACCTGAGACGCGTGCGGCGGTGTGACAACCTGATGTTTTCTGGATCTGTCCGGAGTAATCGCTCTATCGGTCGGCGCCTCGCTGGCGGTCATAGGATATTGAGAACGTATATGCGCGGGCGGTGGGTCGTAATATGTTGTTCTAGCACCAGCTGGTGCACCAGGCAGCGACGGATTACTTCCCGCATTGTACTGCGGCGGGGGTTGTAAGCGCATTGCTCCGTGTAACATGTAAACTTGAGCAACTTGTGGACTATCGGTGGTACGTTCCTGCGGTGTTCTTGTCGCCCGTCTTAGTTCCAAAGGAGGACTGTGGCTGTCCTCTATGCCGCCCTCAAGCTTGGGATCTAAGGGTACGTGTGGAGATCTTGTTCCTGGAATGTGATAAGCTATGCGAGGTGTTGCCAATGCTTCCTGCGCACGTAGATACTGATATTGAAACATGTAATGAGGTGCCAGCTCTCCACCGCGAGACAGTCCTCCGTAATGGTTAACGACATCACCCTGTGAAAGAAAGAAATTTATCTCTTAAATTATTAGTATAAAAGTATAATCGCCATTAATTACTCTAGTAACAACTTGTACAATTTTATATATTTAATGTCAGAACAAATACATCTAATGTCCAAAAGTTGTACGTGTTTTTTGTGTGCGATACATACATACTTAATCGCAAATATTATTGCAAGAACATTATAAAGCAAGTACCTGGGAAGCATTGGTATGATGGTGAGCAGGTGGAGGCAATGGAGGACTCTGAGATCGATGCGGGGGAACAAGACTGTACTGACTTCCTGGTGGAGTGGCGCCCGCACTGCCATGCTAATCAAAGAAAAGAACAGTTTTTATTTAATATCAATTTGCATTAATGTTTTGCTCGATACAGCATGATTACTCAATATCTATATGTAAGAGATTAGTAGTAAAGATGTACCAGCGGAGCTTCATATGGCATTGGTACACTACGAGGTTGCGCGCTCGCAGTTGGCACCATGATACAACCAGACATTGGTACTTCCATCTTCTGCGGTTCCATCGTTCCAGCGGTCTGAAAGAGAGAGTTACAGGTATCAGTAGAAGTTGGTTTCCAACTTTTGATCTGAACATTCATAAAATCATAATATCTAAAAAATATAATAAACATAAAGTTTAGACATACAGGTTTCGGTGTTCCTGAAGGTCGGCCACAGCTCACGCTGCCTGCAATCGACTGTGGGTTGACGAGATGAGGTTGCGTGACGGAACTCGCTACCGTTCCGGTGACCATCGTCGGAACTACGGCCTGTAGTAAATGTGTTTTCGGATTGAGCGGATGAGGTTGTCCATTGATGCCCTTGAGAGTGGTTGCTTGCGAGACTGGTTGATGAATTCTCGGTGCTGGAGTGACAAGGTTCACGTTGACAGAATGTAATGACAATTTCTGCGGCATGTTTACGATCGTTGACGTTTGTTGTTTCGCGGCTTGTAGCAAGTGTTGCTTGGGATTAGGTGGTGCACCGGTGTTATTGAGCACAGGAGACATGGGTTGACCTTGTTTTCCATTAGCAACCGCCAATTGCGTCGCCTGTTTCGTGCGCGGGCTCAAGCTGGGTGACACGACTCTGCCAGGTGGTATCTGCAGATTCAGGCCTTGCTGTATCGTTTGCGCGGGCGGCTTGACGATATTCTGTACTATCGTTTGACTGGGTACGATCGGGGCCACTGGTTTGGTCACAACGACCTGCTGTTGATTTGCTAGCTTGTTGACGTTCAGCATATGCGCTTTGAAGCTCATTGCCTGCGAGGAACAAGTGAGCACCGTTTGCGCCGCCGTTATAGTCGGCGCGGTTACCACGGTAGTGATAGTCGTGCACGGTGTCGATTGTTGTGCGATGGTAATGGTAGAAGTGACCTGCACCGTTGGAGATTGTGGTTTCGTAATTACGCTAGTTTGCGGTTGAACCTGTTGCTGTATTTGATGCTTTTGTTGTTGGATCGGTACCGCGGGAGGTTGACAAGGTGTATGCTCTACAACTTCCTTCTTCGGTTCTGGCGGGACTAATAAAGTACTTTCAGAAGAAGCGGGTTTCGCTCGTGGCGTTTCGTTACTTGGATTGCTGATCGTTCCACTGTTTCGTGATTCACCTTGCGTTCTAGTTTGTGTAGTGGTTTGCGCTTGGCCGGATGTCGTGGACACTGGTATATACTGACCTTCCTCGGATTCCCTCATCGGAATGAGATCACCCGTAACTGGATCGATCAACGTCATCGGTTCAAGCGAGACTTTCTTCTGGGGCGGCGTTGGTGTAACGGGTGGAGCTGGTTCTTCCGTCTTCGGGCTTTCCGGTTCGGCCAATTTTGTCTCTTCCTTGCTTGGAGTCTCCTCGCGCGGTGCTGCCACCACTGCCGTGGTTGCTTCCTTCGGTTTTTCCTCTCCGCTATCGTCGTTATTTTCAGACGTTCGTCTCGTCGCTTTGCGGCCACCTCTAGGCGACTTACGAAGCTCCGTCAACGGCATCGTTGGCTGCTGCGCCGTTTGTACATTACGTGGTGAGTTGTTGTGTCGAGTACTTCGTCTGGTGGCGTGAGTGGTAGCACCAGCCAAGCCTTTATGTACGGGCGATCCACGAACGACATCCTCAATGACATCGTCGACCGTATTCCGACTGCCGTCTTTCTCCGCCAATCTTCGGGACTTTCTCGTGTTGGCTGCCGGGGAGACGAACTCTTCCGGCGGTACTTCCTTTACCGCAGCCACGGGTGTTGGCGGCTGTGCGTTCGGTCCGCTCACGTTTGGTCCAGGAGATTTGATGGTGAGAATCAACCGCGGACGACCGGCATTGTCCTCCTCGCTGTCGTCATGGAACTCGTAAACATCGGCCGGCAATTTGTTCTTCTCAACGTGATGTTTGCTACCCCGAGGGCTTCTACCGCCGCGTCTGTGAGAGACCGCGGCGGTGGCGTTCCTGCCACCTCGCCTGGTGGTGACTCCACCGCGGCAGCCGCGTCTGCTTTTCGTCCTACCACGACGACTCCGCGTGGATTCGTTCTCACACGTCTCCACGCCTTCGTCGTGGTCGTCGGTAGTTGTAAAACTCTTTTTATTCTCGTTTTCCGTTGTCTCGGAGTCGAACCAATCCGACTCGTTCTTGCTGGTGTCGTGTGAGTCGCTGTTGACATTCTCGGTCGGTTGAGTGCTGTCGTCGGCGTCGTTGCCCTCGCCATCGCACAGAGCGTCGACTTTCTTGATGACACTCTCGATGTTCACTTCCTTCGCGGACCAGTAGTCGCTGTCTTCTTTACTGTCGGTCGCATCTTCCTTCGGATCGATAGCGAGAGGATCTGTGCTCGGCTCTTTCAACGGATCTTCTACTGATTCTTCATCTAACTCCATTTCGTCGTTCTCTTTCGCAATGTCTTCTTCTTTAATATCGCTAGTAGCTTCCGTTTTTATAGGAGTTTGCGCCTCGAGTTTCGGTACAATCGTATCGGCAACTTCGACTTTGGGAACACAAGGCGTAATTTCCGTCTTGATTATCTCCTGTTTCTCTTGCTTGGGTTTCACGTTGTCTTCTGCGCAAGGCTGATTCAAGGGCTTCTCAAATTCCACGTTATATTTGCTCTCATTCATCGTGTTTTCTTCTTTGACGTCGACGGGTTCTTGCTTTATCTCGTCGATTGGTTGCGTTGATTGTACGGGTGGTGTAAGTTGCATCGGTTGAGCCGTTTGACCGATCTGCGCTTCAGCATCCAATTCCAGTTGTTGAGCTTGCGTGATACGTGATTCCAAGCATTCAGGTGTGACTTGTTCATTCATCGGTGGTGTCGATGCAGTTGATATCGACGGCACCACCCTGGCTATGATCGTCTGTGACACGGTCTGAGATACTAGAGGCACTACGTGAGACTTGACCAGCTGACTTTGGGAAACAGGCGACTGTCTTGAACAAGGCAGAGGCAGCGATGTTTGCGAAATGACACACTTCTCATTGGGTAACGGTGTGCTCGGCGTGTGCGGCGTTATTTGCTGAGAGACGATAGGTACGACAGTTTTTATCAATGGTTGATTCGGAGAAGAGACAATAGGTGGGCCCAGAGTGTGCAAGGGCTTGTGGCACAAATGAGATTGGCCATGAGCCACGATCACGGGACTGGGTGTGGAGGAGCGTGGTACATGCGTAGTGAGAAGCTGAAGATTCGACAATTCTTGCTTCTGTCTCGGCGACAGCAGATTGCTGTCCGTCGTGATAGAAACGGGAATTTGTTTCTGGGTCCGAGACGATAACATGTAACTATCGTTGACACAGGATGGTTTGCCGAACACAGGGCTGGACGTACTGGCGTTGATCTCGATCTTTGCCGTCTCAGGTATATATGTAGGTGGTTGGTTCGGTGACGGAACCTTAGGGGAGGTAGACGCTTTGTTGGTCGGCTCCGGTATAATAGCGGGTGATAATTTCGGTTCTTCCAATCTTTGCGGCGGTTCGTTCGGATTTACAGGGAGTAATGTTTCTATCACGGACTTGACGCTCAGGGAAGAGTCCCGAGAGCTCTTTATCTGCATGCCAGGCGCCAATGGCGATACCGGCATGAAAGGTCGAGACGGGATATTCAGAGTCAACGGTGGCAAACCGCCACGAGGATATCCAGACGCGGGTGCCAACATTCCCGAAGCATGTTGAATCACCGGCTGTTGCGTTGCCGCAGTCGAGTAAATCTGTTGTACCGGCGCCTCCAATCTCTGAGCGGAAATGGGCACGCACACTGCTATCCTGGCGGTCGGGGGCGATGGTTTGTTAACATTAGGTCCATGAGGATTCATCGTAGGATTCCGTGACCATTGGCCGTTCGGCGAGAGTGGCTGAGAGACACGCGGCGACAACTGCGACGGTACCAGAGGTGGTATTCTTGACGGTCCTAACTGTGGTAATGGCGTTGTCGTGTTGGTGGTAGAGGCAGAAGAGGAAACTGTCACGACATTCTGCGTTTTGGGTGAAGCCTGTCGCATCGACGGCACCATTTGAGACTGCGGTGATACAGGAAGTCTTTGGTATAGAGGCTGCACCGTGACCGGTGATGGTCGTGGACTCGTGGCAGACAGTTTCGGCACCTCGCTCGTAATTGGTACAGTGCAAGGTCCCAGCATAGGTTGCTTGTATTGAGACGGTGGAAGTAATGGAGATTCTTGATCGATCTGCGATATCCTCTCCGGACTGGCGGCGATATCTACGCCCGATTCTGCGACAGTTTCTACTTGTGCAGCTCTCGCAGGCTCGCGAGGCTTGTGCTCATTCAGATTCCATGAATGAGCAATCACAGAACTCGGCGGCGGACTTTGTGGCTTTGTCACTGCAGCTGGTGGTAGTCGCATCTCGATTGGCTTCTCGGGAGCTGTCAAGACAGGTGTCATATTCAAGGTCTTTGTCGGAGATTTGTAGAAGGACGGTATGTCTGGTGTCTTCGGCGGTTGCGTGAGGTCGAACGTTTCGTAATTCGGGTCTTCTTGGTCGGTGTCTGTGTCGATTTGAAGATCATGCTCGCTTTGCGGCGTATCCGGCTTCAGATCCGCGTCGCCTTCTCCTGTCGAAGCGTTGAGACTCTCGACGGCTTGCTGCATCTCCTCGACATCCTCTTGAGGTGCTTCGGTCGCAGCCCCGGTAACCCCGTCCGCTTCTCCTTCCTCTTCCTCGCCTTCGTAAGAGAAGTCCTCCGTTGAGGCACCGAACGTTTCCTCGAGTAACGCAGCAACCGCATCCTCCGTTTCTTCTTGAGATATTGCTACTCGTGGTTTGTCCTCGTTCTGAGTTGGCGGCGTCGTTGCTACAGGTACTTCCGGCTCCTCTCTGCCGGTGCGAGACTGACTACCGTCTCTCTCATCAGGTTCCGAAATACTTTTCACGGCGTTCTCGTGGATAGCCTCGTCGATTTCGATTCCAAAGCCGGGTATAAGCTTATCCTTTTTCTTCTCGAGTTTGGGAGTTTGAATACTACTGACGACCGGTGGAGTAATCGATGATGCGGTTGATACGTTGGAGGTTGCTTTAGGTATCGGGCTTAGCAGAGTCTCTCTAGGCGTGGGCAAGGTGGGCGACGTCGTTTTAGATATTAACGGACTACTCGCCCTCGGTGGACTAGGTTCGGCGCCCAAATAAGGCAATTCACCGCTCTTCTCGTGATGGTGATGATGATGATGATGGTGATGATGATAGTCTTTCCGACTACGTTCCTCCTTCGACCTCTTCCGCTTCTTCTTCTTCTCTTTAACCTTTTCCGGTACAGTCGAAGGCGTGGACGGTTCGATACTGTCATTGTCGTCGGTGAATCGAAAAACGTCATGATCGTTGGGCTCGTTGCACGCGACTGCGACTTTTGGAGAACTCGGAATACCTAAAAGTTTCGCTTCAATTTCACGGCCAGCCTCAGCTAAATCGACGCTGTTCTCGTCCTCCGGCTGATGACGCCGTTTCTTTTCTGTCTTTCGTCTTACTCGGTCCATATCAAGCGAGCTGCGACCACCATCGCTGTCCGACGCGTAAACGCTATTCTCCGACGTCATGTTGCCAAATCTGTTGAAGAAAGTGTTAGATGTTGGACCGTCGTCAACATCGTCTGAGAGTGGGCCAAAGATGTCCTCCATGCGTTGGGAATCTCTCGCTTCTTGCCGATTGAGCCTCTTCCGCCTCGCCTTAGCTTTGTCTTCTCCATTTCGATCTCGTCTCTTATCCTTCTTACTACGTTGCTTCTTGTCTACTCGCAGTCTCTCCTCGGCATTCTCCAAAGACGTTGCGACAATGGTCGTCACAGAAGTAGTGGTAACAAGTTCCGCACCGTGATTCGGCCGACAATCAGTTGGTGTCGTGATGACATTGGTTTTACTCTTTTGTTCTGTATTGTCCGCTGGTTCCACCTTCAGACTGTTCTCGTGTGAGATGCTGTTTTTCTGACGTTTCTGCTTCTTTTTGTGCGATTTCTTTCGCGAATCTCTTTCGTGATTGATCACCTCTATTATTGGATGATTTCTGCGGAATCCGATTGCTATCTTCTCATCTTCGTCAGAAGTGCGGGGTTCTTCTTTAATGGTGGCATGCACGTTATTCACGATGACACTCGAGACCTCCAGCCGATTCTGTTTCTCTTCGGTGTCGGCGAAGCCGAGATCGACGTCGCTTTCTAAGAATCTCTCTGATTTTACAACCGCCTTGCGAACCTTGTTGTTAAATGGCTCCTCTTCTTCGCTGGTGTCTGAATGAATCCGTGATCGTGAGCCTTTTCTGGAAAGAGATTTAGTTCTCGTCGAGTCTGATTCGGATGTAGCCTCGTCTTCAGTTAGAGCTTTGCTGCTCACCGAATCTCCATCCCACGATGTGCTCTGTTTCTTTTCCTCTCGCCTCGCGCGACTTTGCTTCAGCTGCGAAAATTTATCTTTCAGACGCACTTGACGTTTCTCTTCTTCTAATTTCTGCATGTTCTTCGTTGAACGAGCCTTCACTTTGTCGTACATGCTAATGTAGGCAGGCTCGTCGTCAACGATATCGAAGATGGAGTGTTTCTTGGGCTCGTCGCTATCTGTATCGGTGGCGGATGGATGTCTTGCTACTTGTATTTCGTGAGTAGACAGCGGACCGTCGTCTACGTCACTGTGCAAGTTCAATGTGGATTGCTGCTGTTGATGATGTTGCGAATCTCTGGTGTGATTCGAGCCTAGCGAAGCTTGTTCGTTCGATGAACTCGAGTCGACGTTTTTGGCTAGTTCCAATCTCGACAAAAATTCCTTCTCGGGTTCGTGCGAGACTCTAGGACTACGTTCCCTCGACTCCTTTTCTGATCGATTCCTTTTGACCTTCTGTTTCTCCTTACCATTGTCCCTCGAATTATTTTCCCGAGTCGATTCATTGTGTCCGACACTGTCTCTGTTATCCTGTTGTGTCGCGCCACTGCTTTCTTTACTGTCACGACTTTCCCTGCTCTCTCGACTAGAACGATGCGAATCGTTGCGATGCTTGCGATCCTCCGATCTCCTATTCTGCCGAGATCGATCCTTGCTATCCCGTCGATGGTCTGAGATTTTCATACGCTTCGCGTCTTCCTCAGGAGGGCCATCTTGCGATGAGCATCTGCGCTTGATTGATACCGGTGCAGGAGTGATTTGGGTCTGAGACTGAGACGTGACAGAAGGATGTACGTGATTTTCGGTGGGTTGTTGCAGAGAGAGTTGCCGTCTGTTGTCGTCGCGGTCTCTCTTATCCTTGTCCTTCTCCTCACGATCTCGCCTTTTTTCACGTTCAGCCTTCTCCTTATCTCGTCTCTCTTGATCCTCGCGCTCCTTACGTTTTTCTCTTTCGTGTTTTTCTCTTTCAAGACGTTCACGTTCTTCCTTCTCGCGTTTCTCTTTTTCAATCTTCTCCCGTTCTTCCTTCTCCTTCCGTCGTTCTCGTTCGATTTTCTCCTTCTCTTCCCTCTCTCGCTTCCTCTCTCGTTCAAGACGTTCCTTCTCCTCTCTTCTCCTTTCCCGTTCTAACCTGTCCCGTTCTTCTTTCTCTCTTCTTTCCTGCTCTTCTCTTTCTCTTCTGAGACGCTCCTTTTCCTGCTTCTCGCGCTCCAAGCGAATTTCACGTTCTTTCCTCTCACGTTCTTCCCTTTCCTCACGTTCTTTTCTTTCACGTTCTCTCCTCTCACGTTCCTCACGTTCTCTTCGTTCTTGCCGTTCTTTCTCCTCTCGTTCTCTCCTTTCGCGTTCGATACGTTCCTTTTCCCGCCTCTCTTTTTCCTTAAGCTCATTCTCTTCTCTTTCTTTTCTCTCACGTTCTCTTTCTTCTCGTTCTTTTCTATCCTTCTCTTGTCGTTCTTTATCTAATCTTTCTCTTTCTCGCCTCTCCTCGTCTTTTTCTCGCTTTTCACGTTCTTCTCTTTCCTTCCGTTCCTGACGATCACGATCTTCCTTGTCCCTCCGATCCTGCTTGTCACGATCTTCTTTGTCCCTTCTCTCCTCTCGGTCTTTCCGTTCGTACCTTAGTTCCTTGTTATCCTTAAAATCCTTACTATGATTATCCGTTTCGCCCATATCATTAACGACGTTCGAACTTTCTCTCTCGTCTCTATCTTTGCGACTTCTCTCAACATCAACTTCTTCCTTCCGCGATCTCCTTTGACAATCCTTCCCTTTATTATGCTTTGATTCCCTACTATCCTTACTGTCGCGAGAGTCTCTACTCTCTCGACTGCTAGCGCTGCTCTCCTTCCTCAAACGAGAACGAGGCAAATCTGTGGAAGATGTGGATAATGACGATGAAGAGGAAGAGTTAGATGAGGATGTTATGGAAGACGGTGGAGCTATCGAACTGGTAGTCGTCGTGGGAGGTGTCGTACCTATCACGGATGTCGTTGTCGTCGTCGCTGACGAGGTTACCGTACTCGATGTCGTAACAGGTACCGCCGTTGTTGTAATTACAGTCGTGAAGGCGTCTGTCAACGACGTCGATGTTGACGACGCCGTAGGCGAGGCGGTGCTTCCAGAAATGCTCAATCCCCGATGTGTCGAGGCTCCGAGGTTGTGAATACTACCTATGCTACCGTTGCTGCTTAGAAGACTACCGTTACCGCTACCGGCTACCGTTCCGCTACCAAGACCGATCGGTAGAGAAACCGGTGGTAATTCGGGACTAACTGTCTTGATAGATGTACCGGGAGTGATTGGCGTCGCCGGTGTTGGGTGTATACAGTTGTGCTGCGCTATCCGCGGATCGGTCTTCATCGCCGACGTGACTATAGTCGTCGTCGGGGTCAGACTTGTGGATAACGACGTGTTGGCGCCGACCATATTGGCAATTGACGTACCACTACTGCTTAGTTGTACCGGCGGATGACTAGGAAACGGATACTGTAGGCAAACTTTGCTGGTACAGCTACTGCTAGTGGTAAGGCCAGCGGTGCTACCGATCATCGAAACCGATCCGATGCCGATAATACCGGTGAACTCTCGCGGTTCGTACTTTTCACTATAGTTCTCCAATCGCTTCGAATCTTCGTCAAACACGCTTCTTTTCGCAAGGACTGATTTTACGATGTCAGAAGGTTGTACTTCGTGTAAAGCCATGTCAAGCAATTTATGCCGAAATTTAAATCGTTCCGAAGTACTCGCATCGAGCTTCGCCAGAGCGTCGCCACCGACGGCGCTCAACGCTCTGGAACCAGACCACTTCTCGTACTTTTCATCCAGAGAACGTATTCTCTCTTCCAGACTAGGGGACTGCGGTGCTGTCTCACTGTCGGAACTGGTCGGGCTTGAGCTGGGATGTCTGGGAGGTGGCGAAGCTGGTGGTTGCGGAGCGGCACGTGGACTGGGCGCCGTAGAGAAGCTGGCACACGGCGGACTAGCAACTTTCGCGAGACTGGCACCGCTCGACCGAGCGCCACTGCCGTTATTATTATTGCTATTGCTCGTGTTATTGTTGTTGTTTAACATTTGAGCCGCGAACCTCGGTAAAGGTAGCGACAATGGACCCTCGTGGCTCCTCTCTCTAAATCGTCTCGGTTCGCTAGGCACCAAATTCTCCGGCCGTTCGTCGACAAGAGGGGTACCTGGTCGAGATCCATCATGATGTTCGTGATGCCTGGAAATATCGCTAATTAAATTTCAATGATAGTCGAATGTGTAATTCCTTTCTATATTTTTTCCTTAAACAGTAATATATCTTACCTGCTAGTAGCATCCCGACGACGTTTACATGGCCCAGGACCTCTGCCCTCGCAACTACTTCTTCTCGTGCTATGATGTACCACTACTTTACTATCACTAACGCGTCTAAAGTCCATGCCTTTCCTACTAGAATGCGAGGTGACGAGTAACGACGCGATTTCCGGTTCGTCATCTTCGCAGAGTATAGTCGACGACGAGCTATCAAGTTTCGTGCGTTTCTTTGGCGCGAATCCGACCTCGTCGCCGCTACTGTGGCACTCCTCAAGCTGCTCCAACAAGTGGACACGCTCTTTCTGGAGATGCCGGATGTCAGGTGGAGGTAATAACGGTGGTGGTGGTGCAGGTGGATCGACGCTCGTGACAACACTTTGAACTGCGTGACGTCGCGACGGTGGCGGACAGTCGTCGTCGTTGAGCTTGCCGTCGCTGAGAACACTGCTTTGATAGTCGTCGTGACTTGCACCGCTGCCCTGACTATACTCGTCGTAACTACGGAATCGACGCGACGTCGGTTCACCATAGTCACCGTCGTAGTATGAATCTTGGTAAGACCGTCTGCTGGTTCGCGACATCGCCGTCGGATGAGCTGGACTGGCGCCCGGAGTACTCCCTCCGGAGGTTCGCGAATAGCTCGCTGTTCTTGATCGCGGGGGCGTGTCATAGCGTGTGAATCGGCTGCACGAACTTGATACCGTGACCGCCGAGTCGAAGCTACCGCGCTCCCGCCTAGAAGGAATCCTTCGAATCACGAATGCACTTGTTTTAAGCTCTCGATTATGACTCGTGTACCTAAGCGCAAGTATGTGTCTCATATTTATAATGTCTTCAATAATTTAGTAAATAAATAAATAAAAGTAAAAATAATAAATCTAATTGCACATAAATATTATCCAATACGAGAGAACATTTCCTAAAATGAAAGAATATTACTATTAATAATATAAACGAAAGAGTATCAAATGTCTAATAACACTTTTTTTCTTTTTGCTCTGAAGAGTTCCAAAACTCTGTGCAAAAAAAGAGTTTAGGTAAAATGTTATTAGACATCATTTTATAGGGATTGAGAACACGTTAGAGAAGTTCGTATTGTGTGGTGTATGAAAATTCTTAGTAGCTGTAACAAAAAGAATTTATGTATATGAAAAAACTCTACGTACGTCACATCAAACGACGATGCTGGCGAAGGTCTTGAGTCCCAAGGTTTTTCGCTAGTGTTTCCTTGACGTTCGAGGTGTTCATAGAATGTTTCCTGACATTCTCGTGACGCAAAATCAACCTGCAAACGACGGCCCCGAAGTACGACTCCTCGCATTTCTTTCACGGCGGCTTGAGCACAGTTTATTTGGTCGAAAAAGACCAAAGCTTGACCGCGCTCGCGGTCCACCACTACCTGAGTTATCGGCCCGAACTGATGAAACTGCATGTTTAGGTATTTCTCGGACATGCAATCTAAGAGAAAAAACATAATAACATAATAACATAATAATCTCTAACGTTGCCGAGGATTTTGCGATGTCTTGGAGCATTTTTTATTCTGACAATACGTTACAATAGAACATTGAAGAGATATTGTGTGAGTTGCACATAGCCTTCTTTCCAAAAAAATTTTTTTAATGTATGAAAATATATAAAAAGGCAGAATTAATTATAAATAATTACCTCCAATGCCATCAACCCAAACGCAGGACGTGGGCATCGACTTTCCAAATCCGAGTTTAATCCGATTCGTACCTAAATGTTCACCATCCATGGATCTCATGGCTTTAACAACACTACCGATGTCCGAATATTGACAAAAAGCATAACTCGATACGGCGCCTTGTTTCTTTATGTCAATTTCCTACAAATAAGTACGGGAAGGCGTAAATTAATATGTCATAATTAATATGCCGTAAATTAATAGTGCACTCATCCTAAAGTAAATTTTCTTCAACTTAAATTGCATCGAATTTACATTTCAACTCACGATTATTTCACCAAATGGTTCAAAATGTTTCCTGAGCTCGGATGCCGTGACATCCTTTTCGAGGTTCCCGATAAATAACGTTCTTGTTGCCTTCGGATGGTATTCGTCGAGTTCTGCTTCGTACGGCCTGAACTCATTGTCATCGACATCGTAGCCCTGATAAGGAGCCACTTCGATCTTGCAACCAAAGAAGAGTTTATCATGCGAGACCTCGAGGGCTTTTTCGACATCCTCGGGTTTTTTAAAGCACACGAGGGCATATCGGTCGCCGGCTACACCTACGACCTTCACCCACGTCACTTTGCCGTGTTTCTTGTACTCGTGAAAGAGGCCGTCCTTGAGAGAGGTATCACTGCTACGTGTTGGTAAATTCCTTACGCAAATGGCTAGCGCTCGGCGATCCTCTGTAACGGCAACATTGCTGGTGCGATAGGGTGAGCTACCAGGCGATGTGCTACCACCAGTGGTACTGCCGCCTGAGCTACCGCTCCGGCTACTACTGCTACTTCCGGAACGACTACTACCACTCGGCGAGCTGCTCCCGCTGCGCGATTTTCTGCGTTGCTTTTTGTGTTGTCGCAAAGCACCGCTACTGCCGCTACCGCCGCCGCCACCACCTCCTAGAACAAAAGATATCTTATTATCGAAACATAGTTTTGTTAAACCGTTGATACGCATTATTTTGTTTTAAGAAAAACATTAGAAAGAGTCCAAAAATTTTTCTATTAAAGATAGAAGCAACTTATGATAATAGTGAACCACTTACGATATCGATATTTGTGGGCGAAGGTGTGTGGTAAGGGATAGTTACCGCGGCGATTCAACATCGGTAGGTGACAATTACCTTGCTCGTCTTGGTAAGCGTCGTTGGTGGCAGGCGAGGGTGGTGGTGGTGCATTGCCGTATCTCGAGCTCGTCGACTCGTAAGTCGACCAGGACGATGGAGGCAAGCTACCACGATGACGATCTAGATGGGGCGGGGGCGGCGGCCGGTCAGAGACATACGGGCCGGTCCTTGGATAGAGCCGATCCCTCGCCCTGCTCGATGTCACGTGATAAGAACTCGCAGGTGGTGGACGGCCGCGGGGTATGTAGCCGCCGACAGGATCCCCCGTCGAAGGATCCGTCGGATGACCGCCAACGACGACGCCGCCGCCACCGCCGCCGCCGACACCGCCGACGACGCCGACGCTGACGCCGCTGCCGCTCCCGGTGCCAACCCGGTTGCTTCTCTCGCTACCGTAGAAGCCACGTGAGTCAAAACCCTCGCCACCCCTCTCTCGCTCTCCACTTCCGGCGACGCTACCACCGACGCCGGTACCGGTATTCCCGACACCACCTCCGCCACCGCTGCCGCCGGAAACGTTGCCTGTTCCGCCTCCTCCACTCCCGCTACCGCCGCCGGGTCCATGATCCTCCGAACTTCTGAAATACGGAAAAACAAGTGAATATTTTCAAAGTAGCCTTTATCGTTATCGTTTGCAATATTTCGACTTCAATATTTTTTTTAGCGCACTTCAGGTCGCAACTGACGTCCAATGGGAGTACATTTCAGAGGATATCCAGATAGTTCTTCATGATTATCATGAGACACTTAATGATAGTAACTTTACAATAAATCTTTTTTATCATATTTATTGAATTAAATTAAATGTATTGAATTAATCATTTAAATTTACATAATTCTCTTTTATTAGACATAACATAAATCAATATAATAACTTGAAAGATCTGTTCAGGAATTTGTATAAAGTATATAAATAGTACAAGAATATAAAGTATACAAAGAGATCGACCAATCGTGTCATCTTTTTACTACATAAATTATGATTGGTTGATTTCCTTATGTATATACATTATGCGATACAAGCTTGTGTAGATATAAGCATATGAAGTTAATAGAGCATATAATTTCTTTTGGAAAATTATAAAATCATACGACTATAAACTTATGACTATTATGCCGGTCTTTTTATTTCGAAATCGTCATGGAAATACTTCCTCTTATATAGGCTGATCCATATAAAGTGACAGATTATAATTACCTGTTAACAAAAAAAAAAATGACAAATATAATCGGTAATTTTATATATGGATCATCATGTATATGTTGTTTTAACATTATGTCTCATTTATTTAATAAGTTGCTTAATCCCGGTAATTCTTAAAATTAAGAAATATAAAATATAAAATTATTGGTTAAGTACTATAAAAAATAATATTACAAATAAGAAAAATATTATTAAACTCGCAGTTTATTTCACACACATCTCAATAACATTTTTAAAATTATCTTTTTTCTTAACAAAGAATATATATATATATAAACATATTAATTAATATTATTATTATTGTCATATTTATACATAGTGGAGAAAATAACAAACAAGTCGTTTTATTTTTCTAAAGTATCGAGATCATTATCGTTTATTTTTTGGTAACGTCTTACCGTTTAGAAACTGTAAATACAGCCAACGTTGCGGAAATGCTTTTGCACCTCTACAATCTGGTTCGCGAAAAAAAATCGCCACGCGACTTAAATATCTCAATCCTGGTGCGCTCGTACGATCGTAGCCTAGTGGAGCGGCGAACCGGGCTCGTAAATTTCTGAGTACACTACTGACAGTTAACGCTCTCTTCCCCTTAATCCCCTTTCTCCCCGGCTCCTCGGTTCGTCACGCTTCGACAGTCACTCGGGCGATAGCGCTCGCGTAGCCGTCGGCTGAGACGTGGCAACATCGTCAGCGAACACGTCGTCACGGTCACCTGACTTTTCGTGGAAACGCGACGCTACTATACTCTTCTTGATCGCGCGCGCGCGCGCGCGCGTGAGTATGAATATAAGCGTGCACGAATGCGTTTACGCACGGCCTTTTTTCTCCTTTTCATTTCCCTCCCGTTACTCCTCCTAAACTCGTTCTCTCTCTCTCTCTAACTCTTTCTTCCTCCCCACTCTTTGTCTCTGCCTCTACTCGTCGCCCTCTTACGGTGAGATCAATCGATCGAAGACAGCGGATTTTTCCGCAGACGACACACGATATGCGCTTCGACTTCGGGTACATACGTACGGCGCGCCGTTGATGCCACGGGGAAAGTGCTTCTATCTGGTTAATCGTATGTAACACGTAATCTGTCAAATAGGAGGTAAGTAGACGAGAACGGCCACAGTGGCTGCTATGACGTCAGGAAATGTGAAGTGTGAGTGCGTAGTGAGAATTTTTTGCCAGAAGGAAAGAGAGAGATTACGTTGCTATCAAAGCCATGATAAGGACGTCGGTGGTTCTCAACTTGGGAAATCATGATTACATTCTAGGTTACTCGAAGAAATTGTTACTGCAAGCAAGATGCGCATAGAAATGCGCGAGATATTTTCCATCAATCGAATAATGGAAAATAATTCTTCGAAACTGACTCTAGCCAAAAAGAGCCACAATATGCTCTTTGCTTTCTGTTTCTTGTCTTCTATCTTTTTTTGGTTTAAAGCTTAAGATTTGAGTCAGAAAGCGATAAAGAGAAAGAAACAGGAAGCAAACAGTATATTGTAGATCAAGCTTAAATGTGTAGTCTATTTAAAACAGTGTAATTCATGTGTATTCGTGGAGAAAAATTATCAAATTATTGATACTATTTGAACGAGTTATCATTGAGAACATTGAATAACATTGCTAATTTTAATATTGATATCTCGTGTACTTGTCCATATAAATATTAATAAATTCATGTAATATCGATTACAAAGCGTCGATTATCGGATACATCAGATGCTACACATCTGAAATTGTATTGCTAGACAGATACTGGACAATTTCGTTTCTTGACTTTACATTAATAAGTTCAAATGCCACTATGATAAGAGCGCAAGATAACGATGGGCATGCGTCGAAGATAACGTCGATAACACGTTGTTATGTACGACACTGAACATTGCGACCAAGTTGTTTATGCCAGCAAAAGGAACTCTATATATGTACATGTTTACAACTGATATCGATATAATGGTATTACACGACTTAACTACCGTGACGATTTATTATTCCAGGAATATATGGAAAAGCAACGTAACTCGTGAAAAGAAACACGAGGAAAAACAAGATAATTATCAATTATTTATAATATCATTGGTGAATATGTAATGTGATTAAAGGACTTCTGCTTTATGATAGATATCGACTATATATCACAAGAGATCTATATTTGATATAAGATCTATATTTATCACTAAATAAAGTGCCAAGATAGATTGCTGCCATTATGAAGCAGACAGAAGATATTGAACATAATACATGATACTGAACATAATACATGATTTGCAGATAGAATAGAATTTTTTTCATTATCCACTTACCTTATCTATCCCTTTAAAATCAGCCGCTTATACGACGATTTACTGGCAAGTGCAGGTACATTTTAATATCATTATAATCCAAGATCACTGTAATCCAAGAGCACTGTAATCCAACACTGTATCCATAGATGTGGTGAAGAAGAAAATGCACTACACTATTTGTTATGGCTGGAATCAACACAGATCACTCATTTTTCTCAAAACACTGACATTTCAATAGATTTTATCATTTACGTGTTTCTTCTCGAGTTACTTGTGCTTTCACTGTAATAGTAGTTGTAGTTGTAGTTACACTGTAATTTGGTTACATTATATATAATCACAATAATTGTTGGGTCCTGGAGGATAAACTGAGAAGCAAACAAGTTGCAATAAACACTAAAACAATATACGTCATGTTGTATTTCATTTTCCCAAGTGTAGTTTGTTAACTATTGAAATTTTTGCACTTATACACACGTTGTACACATGTAACGAAAACTCAAGCGCTGAAATTGCAAATTCCCAACAATAATCGCTGGCATTAAGTTGGATGTTAAAACAGGGGAAGAGTGAAGTTTGAAGTTTTTAACTCACTCGTAACATCGTACATACATTCTATTCGGAAGCAAAGATAGAATGATTCATTCATAACGACATTTCAATGTCACCTTTTTGTATGTACTTCCTGTGATTTAATTAATTCCCAGGACATGACTCACTATAAACTGATACTTACAGATGCTACTACGGAGACAAGAATATCGTTCCATTTCTGGATACGACTAATTTGGATAAACAGAACATCCCTATACTGACTGAAAGGACGTAGTCGTACTGTATGTCAAAAGTACTTTTTAATTCACTGTCTTGGATATTTAATTTTGCCAAGTGACAGTTCTGTTGAGCCAGACCGGTAAATTAAAATAATGACCGAGACATCAGTCAGAGACTTGTTCAATCAAAAAACAGTGACTGAATTAATATGTAGACGTATCTTCATAAGAAGAATAAGACCTAGAATACCAATAATAAGAAGCCAGAAGAATATTCCCTCAATTGTACAATAATATGCATGAGTTTTAATGTTTATACTAATTTATAATAAAAAATACCGCAATCTTCTGTTCATTGCTGAAGGACAATGCACTTGATCAAACATAACTTGTACGTTCGCATGACGATTTATATTTTTGCGCAACGAGCGCAAAACTCACCCGTGAGATGGAAACCTGTGCTGAAGATGCTGTGGTTCGTAGTACTGTGTGGTAAGGGCTCGTTCGTCCAACGTATGCTCAGTCGCATGAGCCTTCGCTGCAGACTTGATATCCATGAACGCCACCGTCGCTGAGGCACCCCCCGAGCTGGTAGAGGAACCGCCACCACCGCCACCGCCTCCGGAACCGGAACCGCCCTCGTTGCCCTCGCCGAGGGAACCACTGGAACCTCCGTCCACGGGGCATTCTTCACCCCGTGGCAACAGCTTGACGCTCTGCACGCGTCCATACCTGAAACATCAATAAAATCGGACTTAACAAACTTACGATAGATTCTTTATTGAAAAGATATGATTTCATCTAAACGGATTTCGATTTTATGAGTCATTTTTGTTGATCTAGACCTATTTGATTTGGGAAATATATTTGGGAGTTTCGCTTTCGTACTATTGCTTATGGTTTGCTTGGTACTTTAAGTGAAATAAGCAAAAAAATACATAAGATATGTGCTAAAACCAACATGACTATTTTGCTACCATTTTGGAAATTTGCGATTTAGTCAACTGTGCAACTATTCCGTATTGCGACAAGCGCAATTTCAGAGAATTTCAAAAGCACTATAAATAGGATCGAACATCATTTGTATAAAATAATCGATACGAATTCAACTCCCAGACTCGTACTTCGAAATTTCTTGATGAGCATCGCACGGAGATTTATATCTTCAGGAAGCTACTTATTCCCGAGTTTCCTCCGTTAGCAAACATTAGCTAGCTCTTACAGATGTGGCAACGTCGCGTTTCTATTCGCGGCAACTGCGCCGAAGGGATCTCGTCGGGATCGTTTAAGATTTCGAAGAAGGGTGGATAGATGCGAGAAGAAGCACAGAGACCCCGTAATCCTCTGCCTCTTTCAGAAAGCTCTCTCGATACTCGAAGCGACCAGAGGAAATTAAGTCTAAAGCAGAGGGACCAGGTCTGAGAGAGAAAGAGAGAGAACGAAGGAAAGAGGGGGAGGGAGAGTAAAAGAAGCGAGGAAAGAGAAAGACGAGACCTCGATCGAAGTCTTTCTCTACTACGTTTGGATCAGTACAGAGAAAAATCGTTGCGGATGTTTTTGTACAAAGACTATGACGGTTCTCGCCGAGTGGCTTGAGTCACGGCAGCGCGTGAGGAGAGCAATGGCAGAAATGACGTATAAATATATATAAGGTGTCCTGAAGAAAACATCAGCTTTAACGTTCCGGGTTTCATCGATCGTACTGAGCTACTGGCGCAGCAAGCAGTTTCGCTTGGTCTGTGTGATCTTTTGCAAACGGATATATGCTATTATTCGAAAAAGGGTACTTTCGTGACCTTTTCGGATATTTTTGGACTGGAACGGAATACGTCCTGAATTGGATTTAATCTTCTATGTAACGAGAAATCTGAATTATATATCACATACAACACTTTCTATGTGCGTTATGAACATTTGGAATGCTTCTTTGTTTTAATGATATAACAGATTTAATGATATAACAGATTTATCTGATTCTAATATAAGATTTAATATGATATGTACAAATCAGCTAGGATCGTGACTTTCTTAGATAAAATGTCATTTCCAAGTTTCGCGATTCTCTAAATGCCTGAACGTTTAACGGTACTAGCTGCTTCGAATCACGAATAGCAAAGTTTTTCCAGGACGCAAATGGAGCGACCAGCAGCACTGATATCGATTTATTTTCCGATTGCACGGTGCGCTATTCCACCTATACCGTCCCATTGGAAAAGCGTCGATATCTTTCGCGTTTCCCATCTCGGCGCAATTTTGAATCGGCAAAGTTTCCAACGAAGGGCAAAAGGGAAGAGAGAACGGAAGGGAGGGACAACGGGGCGAGCAGTCTCGTTTTCACCCCGTAGTGGAGAGAACTTAGGATATTGAATTTCGCACGAAATTAAAGAAAACAAAGAGCCCGGAGAAGTTGTTTCTGGCACACCCTGTGTGCAAAGCGAGAGAGATGAGAGAGCGAGAGAGAGAGAGTGTGTGTGTGTGTGTGTGTGTGTGTGTACGCGCACGGCGGTGAACGATATCGCCGAGGAGGGGAAGTGCTGTTCGCGTTTGGGGGATGGTGCACACCGATTGGCCGTTCGAAGGACAAGCGGTGCGCGCAGGCGCAAATACCGGGACGTCTGGGGACTTTCCCGGGGAGTCGTTCGTCTAATCTCGCGTGAGTCGCACGTATCTGCTCTGCTCTGTCTGCTCCGTCTGCTCTCCCGAAACAGTAGCTTTGCCAATTTTGTCGTATAACTCCTGTTGCGCTACGTACTTTCTCAATAAGCATATACCGTCGTAGAAAGAAATAACTATAGAGAAAACTGCTACACGTACGGGACGAGCCGTCGTATGATCGTTTCGCGCAATTGACGGCGAGAGAGGGAATGAAGGGTTGCTAGTTGTGCCGAGATCCGGAAACGGCCTGCGCACGGATTACCGTGGATTACCTGCGGGAATATTTTACTAGGGCATTCCACGAATCGAAGAACGACTGGAACTATAGTTTTTCTCGTAGAAGCGAAATATGTCGACAGAAGCCAACAGCACGAACGTGTCACGATGCCTGGCGTATGTTCGTCTGTCGTGTCGACGACGGCTCAGCAGGGTGTGGCTCTCTGTCGTTTTATTGGCGAGAAAGAGTTTTCACGTTTCCTTCTTGAGCCCGTTGACTTATCGATAGTACTCTCATAGCTTCGCGTAAATTCGACAAATTAACGAGCAAACAAAAAAAAAATAGAAACAAAAAAGAGCAAGAAATTTCTCTCGTTTCCGACAATTTCGAAAATACTACTCGATGATCGAGAATTATTTTTGGAGTACTGGTCATTTTCTCAACGGGAATAGCAGGAGAAGAAGCAAGCACACGCGTAATCTTTGCCACGTATGCATCTGGAAGAACGCTCACGCGAAATGGCGGACGCTGTGGGGCACCACTCGAGCACCGCTCCCTCGTATAAATCGCTCTCCGTTCTCCGACCCGCGCTCTCGTTTCCCGCATGTAGGAAAATCTACGTTGTGCCCTATTCTGCGCATGAGACATTTTACTGTGTGATGTGTGCTGTGTTCTACAGACTTTATTACCATACAAGGGTTCTTAAGACGGTTATGACGACTGCGAAGTGAATTAGTGAATGTCGTAGTTACGATATTCCGTGATATTTCGGGATAAAGGAAAGTCTGTTAGTGCTGCGAAATTTGCGTTTAGCTTGGAGAGATACTGACGCCTTCGGGATTCTCTTTAACAATGCTTCTCGAAACAAGGCGAGGGCAAGATGCGAGAGAGGGAAACTATTTCGGTTTGATTTAGTGTCGAATCTTGAAATAATAACAAAATGAAAGTTATTAGATGCAACATTTTTCGACAGTTGCGCAAAAATGTGATGTTACCCAAACTGCGCAATAGAAGATCTGTGTCAACGAATTATACTCGTCATTATCACTACCACTGAGGGTATCCTTAGCAAAACGTATGCCAGGCTGTGCGCATTTTCATCAGACTCAAAGAAAATTCTCAGGACTCGTAGCAGCGTACTGGAACTGCGACCGCGTTCTGCCTCTCGCTTGCGAGAGCCGTTGCTGACCGTCTCTCCTTCCTTCCTCGTTCTTATCCTCCGCCTTTCCTCCTTCGCCCCTTGACGCGCCCTTCTCCGCGTTTCCCAACGAAAAAGGCACGCATACAGGCACATCAGTGCGCTTTAGTGAAGTTTCACACACATATATAGCCCCTTTTCTACGGCGCTCGTATGAGTGAAAGCGGGTGAGAAGGGAAAGAGGGCCAGCGGGTGGTGGAGGAAAACGCTTGGTAGGGGAACAGAACAGAAAGAGAGGAGGGTGATGATGGTGGAGGGGAAAAGCGAAGTGCCACGGTGGCTGGCTGGCTGCCTGGCGAGCGAGCCGTGAATCGTATCCCTTCCCCCCTCGAGAATCGCTCCCGCTGGCCCTTCTCTCTCTCCCTCGCTGTGCTCATCGAGGAATTTTACTCGGGCAGACTCGCTCCCAGGCTTGGTGGTTCCCCCTGTTTCTGGTCGCACGACGTACGACGGGTTCTGCTTTATGTGGCGGCATTAGCATGGGTCTCCATAAACCGAAGGAGTCTCTAGGTCAGAGCCGTGTTCTCCTACGTTATACAGGAACACTAGCCTGCCTAGCTCGGTCGCTTGCTCGCTCGTTCGTTCGTTCGTTCGTTCTTTCGTTCGTCATCCAGCCTGGATAATACAACACTACGATCGAAACCGCTATTAACAAAATAACGATCACTCGTGAAGGACGATATAGTTTCATCACGATTCTCTCTCTCTCTGGTGCGCGGCATTTATCGTCAAAAATGAATTACTCGCCAGACAATATATCTCTCGCACACTTTAAGCTTTACTGTGCGACAAATCCATGTTATCGCCGCACTCACACTGATGACCATGTCTTCGTTATAAACGAAGCTTAGAGTATTTCGTTCCTTTTAAGACCCGCGAGACACGTATATCAGCAATCCAGTGACTCATCGTTCGAAGTTTTGCAATTACTGCGTGTGTTTGCGCGACGTTATCAACGTCAGAGCACGGGCATTATCGCAATTACATCGATGAGTCTAAGCCGCTTAATCGCGCCGTCCATCGCGCGACAGTGACGTTTGGAGTGATCGTACGTCTTTCCACGTTTCAAACTGGAGACGTACGGGAAATCAATACATCGGCCCCCACGACGAAGAGACCGAGGGAGCGAGACAAACGCAGAAACTCGTCTTCCGTAAACTCGTCAGCGTTATAAATAACGAATTATCGATCTATTCCACCCGCGAACTGACACGTCGTCGTCCCTCTGTTTATAGAGACGGATAGTAACATGGCATTTATCGCACGGCGAAGGTTCGCGTGTGTGCTATTTTTGATTAGAGTAGTATAAAATTGATTAAACTCAAACATTTTGTGGTTTCCTTGGCATTTCTTTAATACAATCAGAATATCGTAACGTAATTGTGTTTTTTAGGATATCACTTTGCAAAATAGCATACTACAGGCAATAAACTGCGAGGGACTTTCTTCAGACTAATAAATTTCACGTTTCTATGATGCATACGCGAAACACTCGTCAAAAATGGTTATTCATAAAGTCGGTGAAAGTATGTTAGAGAGAGAAAGAGAAACGGGGAAAATTTAACATACAATTTTTAACAGTTTTTATATGTGCTTTGACGTATCAAAGGCGATACTTCATTTTTTCATAAATAAAATACTTTTGCGGCGGTCACACGCAGC